CTGAATGATTATATAAATAAGCTATGCAAAACATTCTAAGTTAGAGGAATTGAGACATTATAAAGCTCATTTTTTTGTTACAAAGAACTTCAGATGAGATTTTATTTCTAGCTCCTATCTTTAATTCAGAATAGTTACAGTCAGAGGTTCAGAATCTCAGAGCGCTTGAAGGGACCTGAGAAGTCCTGTAGTTTAACCTGCTCATTTTAGAGATTTAGAAGGTAGGAGCTCAGGGGAGTTTAGTGATTTGCTTCATATCCCACAGCAGTGGTAAAAGACAGAAGATTAGGAGTTCCCCTACCTAAGTCTCATTTCTGTGCTTCTTTCATTAAGTTAAAATTAAACCATATATGAATCAAACTAATATGATAGCAAACTGCAATCCTGGTTCTCAGTTATATGTTTTAAACTCCCCAGAGATAATTTTTCAACCTCTTTCTTGCTGGAATTTGTCATACACATATCCACCTTAACCTTTAATTTCTAGAAATAAAAAATTTTAAATTACAAAATGTACAATTAACTTCACATATACTTACTGTTTTAGGCAGTCAGACAGACAGGAGCAGAGTAAGGACAATGGGCCGGGTGCAGAAGGTCACCAGAGCAGAAAGCCCAGGATGCCTAGCAAGAGGCAAAACTGGGAAAACAAGAACCTAGCCCCCAGGGCAACCTCTCCTCCCTAGCATCTTGCTGGTCATGTGTTCTAGACCCCCTGACCTTTTCTTCCCTAACAATAACATCTAGGCTCAGCTGTATTCAGCTCCAGGCTCAGAAAAGCAATAAAACCAGACAAGTGACCCTGTGACTACCCTCAGGACCAGCTGCATTGACTAATGACCCCACCACCACCACCCCACCTTGGCACTGACCAATGGACACCACAACACTGAAGGAGCACAACCAGAAAGCTAATGAATATTCTATTGAGACCCTCCCCTGAGACCTCCCCTAAGATTCCCAGCTGCAAGAGAGTGATAAATACAGTCAGGATGAGGGACAAAGTACATGCTCCACCCCCATAGTATACCAGCACCATTCCCTTCCCCCATTCTTTCCTCTAAGGGACTTGCCATCAGGGGAGCAATGGGCAGCAGCAGCTCGACTCCGGACCTGTCTCCAAGGCCCCCTTTTCTCCGACTGACCAGTGAGCCAAAGCAGCCCAGCCTAGCCTCTCCTGCTGCTTCTATGCCCTTCCTAGTTTCACTGTCCTAAGTGTGGTTTTTGCTGTTGCCAATACATTCTTTCTTACTTTGCTGCACTTTGTCTCTTGATTGAAATCTCTCCTTCAGAAGACAAGAACCAAGGTCTTGTGGTCTCGCCAGTACCATGACCAATACTCTGCAAGTCAGAGGTCAATTTAATGAAAAGAAAGCAGTTTGAATTTGGATTTTTTATTGTTAAGCCACTTCCAATTTGTCTTCTTCAAAGTATCCAATATCTATTAGGTGTATAAGTTGCAAAGATACTTAGAGAAAATATTGTGTGATTCTCTTAACTTCTCCGTGGAGATGACTGGCACCCGGACAGTGGAGGCCTAGTAAGTTCTTGGCTATATGTCTTCATTAAGAAAAATTGAGGCCTTATAAAAATTGATCTGGCACCACTTCACAGAAAAACGTTCAGGAAGAGAAACCCAGCTGTCAGATGTCAGTAGGCATGTAGGGCATTCGAACCTTGCCCTAAGGAACAGTGAGTCATATGAAATGCAATGTGCAAGGGAAGCGGACACATAAAAGGATGGAACAACAATGATGAGTTCCTGAAGACATGCAGCGGGACAGAGAGCAGTGATAAAGGATCTATTTTGGGGTCCAACAGAATGACTTGGGAATTTAAAAATCAGAAATTATGTCACTCGGCTTTGCATTTAAGATAATTTAGCAGCCTCTATTTTTTTTTATTAATACTGTTATAATTTATTAGGATGATACGTGATTGAATTGTTAATTACTGAAGAGCCTAAAAATAACTTAGGACAGGAAAGCTACTTTAATTTTGTGGAAAAGGGAGCTGTGAGGTATAACAATAACTGCAAAATTAATATTATTAATCATCTGGCATGGAACTATAATACAAATATAAATAAGAAGACACCTTTAACTGCAACAGTCAGCTTTTTGGTTGAACCAGTGTCCTGAAGCTTTTAACTAATGTGCAGGGTTTAAATTGAAACTACATTGCCCAGGAGTTCTAAAAATAGTACTTAAAGCAAGTTAAATCTTTAAAAGAGCTCACCCTCCGTTTCCCTGTTCCCTTATTTATAAATGATATCCTCTAATTTTCCATTTATGGGAAAGGTTTGCAGCCATTTATAGAAATATAACAATGACTACGTGAATCAGAAAACAAAGAACTCTTCAAAAGAAGAGTTGTTCAAATGAGCAACGTAGCCTTATTAGTTTACTAATTAAACATAATTTGTTTTATATGTATGTACAGTATCATATATTTATAGTTATAAAATTAGCCACAGACATTATATATGTGTGTGTGTGTATGTATGTATATATATGTACATACGTATATATGTATATATACATATATATATATTTGTGTATGTGATGTTTGTGGCTAATATTACCAAATTACTAATATTACTAAATCTGATAGGACCTAATCAAATGAATTTAACACCCTTAGTCCTCTGGCCAATGGAACAAGAGCAGGAAGCTTTAATCCATACCCAAAGGTACTAAGGAATTTACTTTGTAAGTTTGACAGATGTTCTTAAGCCTTCTTTATCAGTATTTTGTTAGATTGACTTTCAAAGTTTTCCTTTAGTCAGAAGTTATTTGAAGTTAAGTTATATATAATTTTGTGAAATTTTTCTCACTGCTGTTAACATGTTCACATTATCCTCAACTTCATTGGAATTCCGACATGTTACTTTCATTAGGTCATGAATGTTCTTTTGTAATGTATGTAATACCTGACAGTAGGGCCATCCAAAGTTTTGACAGGTGGCAGCACATTTGGTGGGTGTATCATCGTAGTATCCTGGATGACAAGAGAACATTCCTGTGAATTTGGTTAAAATGTTATCAGTGAATAGTGGAATTTTACAGAACTTAAAGTGATATGTTTGTGTGATTGTTTTTTGTTAAAATCATAAACATATGTATTTTAAATGTTGCATTTTAATGGGAAATTGGGAGGAGATGTAGCAGGCACATTTAGGCTGCCACCATGCTAACCTGAAAGTAAACAAGAACTTTGTTCTTGGAGCCTTATTTCTTAAGAATGAGGATAGTAGTGGGCATGACCATGGAAGATGGTCCCTTTTGTTCCAGATTTTAGCACTAGGAAGAAGTGGATGCCATGAAATGTTCAGAAGAAAGGTTGTTCTGGAAGAAAGGATAACTTGGTCAAATGATTCTAAGGAGGGAATGATGTGGATGGTTCAAAGTGCAGAATGATGGTCAATGTGATCAGAGAAGAATAAGTGAGGGTGGAAAAGTGGCAAAGACCTTGTCAAAGAAGGAGTCGAAGCCTAGACCATGTCAGTAATGAGATTTAAATTTCCTTAAAAATAGAGCATTATTAACAAGTGAGATTTGTCACTGCTAAACAAAAACTTCATGCATGTAAATGTGTTTTAGATGCATCTTTTCAGACTCAATGGTGAAAGCAACATATAAGTATAATCTAATTTACCTTGCCTTGCATTTACACAGTGTTTGGACTTGTAGAACTTAAAAAATGTCAAATTTGCATTTGTAAATTATTTACCTTCATTAGTTTATATTGGGACTTGAGATGCTTTCATTGAAATTACCCTTATGAATTGTCAATTTTCTGCTACTTCTAATATTAAGCTCTGAATTATTGCCAAGAAATTCTATGAAGTCAATAGAGATCTTTAAGTGAAAACTCAAAAGCATTAAGAAAGCTTATGTTAAAAGCAATCTGCTATAAAATATTTTATGATCAAAATATTTTAATTACTTTGTAAATTTTTACAACTTCACATATTTTAATAATTTATTTTATATTATTACAAATTATCTAGTATATGTTACAATTAGGATCATAATCTAGTCATTTTAAAGAGATGTACATTTTTTATATCAACAAACACTGTGTGTGCCCTGGCCAGTTTGGCTCAGCGGTTAGAGCGTTGGCCTGCGGTCCAGAGAGACCCGGGTTCGGTTCCCGCTAAGGGCATGTACCTCGGTTGCAGTTTGTCCCTGGCCCTGGTTGGGTCGTGCGGGTGGCAGCCACTCGATGTGTCCCTTTCACATCGATGTTTCTCTCTCTCTCTCTCTCTTCCTCTCTCTCCCTCCCACTCTATCTGTACAAAAAATGGAAAAATATCCTCGGGTGAGGATTTAAAAAAAAAACAACAAAAAAAACAAACACTGTGCATCATATTTAGAATCTGGATTTTCTACAAGCTATTTTGAAAAAAATAAAAACTCTTCTCAGTCTCAGGATTTACTGGCATACATATGGCCTACTAAAGGTTCAAAGTTGAAATTTATTTTGGGTATTTTCCCAACTTTCTGGAAAAAGCCACTAGAAATAGAAATGACACATTATTGGGATTTTTTCTGCACAGTTCTAGAGATTTCATTTGTCATCGCAGCTGAAAATGCTATGAAAGAATCTTTCTACTCTTTTGGTGATTTGGACTAACTAGAAAAACAAATATGCCAATGGCTATCAGAAAATTTGTTGGTGAGTTAATTTTGGTTAGTAAATGTGTCACACATATTAATAAAATAATGTACATGTCATCATGGTCTTACTTCCACTTTCTTCAGGAAAATTTCAGTATCTACAGTACCAAAAATGGATTAATATCCAAGAAGAGAGGATACATAGAAAACATAAAGTCTTAGTGAAAACAATAGAAATACCTAGAACAAACTGAAAAAAAAAAATACTTATTTTGTTTAAGTCGCTGTGTTGGCTGAAGTGATGACATAATAAAATAAAAATCAATGAAAACGTAAAAACACAGAAAAGAAATAGTGCAAATAAGAATATAGATATACCTTCTTGATGTTGCCATGGTGAAGCACAGCAATTACGCTAAAAGAAAAAAAAATGCAAACCTAAGTATATTTATTAAGAGAAAATCAGAACCTTGAAGAAACATATTGGTTAAGTTCAGCTAATGGGTATAAGAGCAGTCAAGTGGTTTCCAAAATGAAGGAGTATATGACAGACAAATCCAATACCTTATTTGATATATCTGAGAAATAATTTTTACCACAATAGAAAGACAGTATCTATTTCAAGAGATTTTAAGCTAAATAAATGAATTTAAATATTCAAAATATTATAAACAACACACAATACATGCCATTATACATTTGTCCAAACTCATAGAACATACAACACCAAGAGAGAACCATAAAGTAAACTACAGATTGTAGGCAATCATGATGTGTTAATATAGGTTTATTGATTGTAACAAATGTGCCACTCTGATGGGGGATGCTGACAATGAGGGAGGCTATGTACGAGTGGGGAAAGAGGGGATATGGGGAATCTTTGCTCCTTCTCTTCAGTTTTGCTGTAACCTAAAACTGTTCTAAAATAAAAGTCTATAAAGAAAGCACACAGGCCCTGGCCGGTTTGGCTCAGTGGTTAGAGTGTCGGCCTGTGGTCTGGAGAGACCTGGGTTTGGTTCCAGCTAAGGGCACGTATCTTGGTTGCAGTTTGTCTCCGGCCATGGTTGGGTCGTGTGGGTGGCAACCACTCGATGTGTCCCTTTCACATCGATGTTTCTCTCTCTCTCTCCCCCTCCCACTCTATTTGAACAAAATATTGAAAAATGTCCGCAGGTGAGGATGAATTAAAAAAAAAGAAAGAAAGCACACATACATCTAAATAGAATTATTTTAATCCTTCCTCTTTATTTCTGAAGGAGATTTTGATGTGCATTTGATAGGATTTTTGAATAAAGGGAAATGGAAAGTGAGAGATATGATTCTAGGCATTATTAATCTGTGTCCTTGTTCATGATGAGAAATTCTATTCATACCTTCCTAGTTCTAAAAACACTAAAAACCATTCTCTCCATTCCCTGGATCACCTAACCAAAAAGACATAGTCCTTCTCTTAAATAATTATTAGCAAAAAGTTGCTTAACCATAATTATACAACCTGAAATTACTGCTGCTCAATTAGAAACAAATGTTGCAGAGAAAAATTTTAATTCATTATACATACAAATTTGCTGTGATTTGTAATCAGGGCAATGCACAAGAAAACCAGAATGAGATACTACATACACCCACCTGACTTGGAAAAATGTAAAAAGTTTAACAATAATACAAAGTATTAGAAAGGATGTGGTGCATAGAATCTCATAAACTGTTGGTGGGAGTATACATTGGTGTAAGAATTTTGAATTGCTTGGATCCTGAAATCCCACTGGCAAGTATATTCCTTAAAGAAATCCAGACATGTGTACCAGGAGATACTGTAAAATATATATATATATATATATATATATATATATATATATATATGCGCATTGCTTCACTATTGTAATAACAAAATGGTGGAAGCAATCCAAATGTCTCTCAGCAGGAGAAAGGATAAATACCTTGTGGTGCGTCATACTACGGAACTCTGCAACAGTAGAAACAAAGAACCATAGCTATACACATAACAAGGATGCCTCTCCAAAACAGGGCTGAATGAAAGAAGCAAGTCTCTGAAGACTATATTCAGAATATTTCCACTTTCTTCTCAGTAAAAATAAAAACAGCAAAACTCAACTGTGTAGAACTCATAGATGTGTGGTAAACTCATAAAGTAAAGCAGGAAATTATTAGTACAAGTTTAGGGTCATAGTTTATTTCTGGGGACGTACAAGTAACAATCAGGGAGAAACATGATGGACAAGCTGGGTCTAGGTATACAGGCATTTATTTATTGAAACTGTATATATATGCTATACATAAACTACATATATGCAGTTAAAAAAGTTTTACAGTTATTTGTACAACAGTATGAAAAGTATGATTCCTTACTCTGGAATTATATATTTGTTGTGAATTTATGGACCAAAATATCAAAATGTAGTGTATTTGTGATAGGTCAGGGTGTTTGGTGGGGGATGGAGCTGTCTGGCATGGTACCAATCTAGTTTGAAAGTTTACTTCCTTTTGTCAGAATATTGTTAAGATCAGGCGTCTCCTAAGATTTCACAGTTAAATCATAGTCATATGCACCATACAAACCTTTAAAATTTTACAAATATGATTCAGGTGGGTGAATTCTATTTGGCTTTAGGTTACTTTCCTATTTATACAGAATAAATTTTGGAGTACCAATGATGAACATCCATGAAACAACGTGTGTGTGTGTGTGTGTGTGTGTGTGTGTGTGTGTGTGTGTTCCAATGAAAGAAGAATCAGTAAAGTTGTATTTTGTATTTTTACCAAGTTCCTAAGACTTCAGTTTAGATGATTCCAACAGGGAAAATGTGGCCCCAAGTCATAACAGTAATAATTCTCAAAGCCAGAATTAGAGGAGAAGGTAATAGATAATACATAAGTCCTGTTATTTATATGTAGTTCAGTGTGAATTTGTGTTTATTTCATTATTTAGACATGTCCCTTGTTCACTTTTTTTGGTTATTATAAATTTGTTATGTTTTATTCCCCAATATCTGGAGATTGGTAAAGAGACAACTGCTTTTGGGGCACACTCCGCTGAGTACCCCTGACTGATTCTGTAGGTTTGAAATGAGCAAAAGGGTTTGCATTTTACAAGCAGCTCTGCTACTTTAAATGTGGTATGATTAATATAGCTCAATTTCTGGGCTGTCTTTTGAGAAACTGTCCTAGACAGACTAAGACTTGCCAGTAGATCAAGACTCTTTGAACTCTCCACTCTGAAGTCAAGTCATCATCTTTACCAGTTGGGTCCAAGAACATGATGACCACCCAGGAGTTGGTGTTTGCTGCTCACAACTTCTTCACAAACACTCCTCACCTCTTATCAAAAGGGATAACCCTTAGGCTTAGCACTCAATCCATTTCCCAAACAAAAGGGAAGACAAAGTTTTCCTATCCTAAATGTTTAGCCAAGCAGCTGGAAGGTATTTGCATACTAGCAATTTGTCCATGTTGTCAGAGCCAAAGTATCTCCACATCTTAATTGATGCAGTTCAGTGCTGTGTTTTTATTTCCTAACCTTTCTGGCAAATAAAATATGTCTTATTGGACCAATTTATCTTCTTTTATAGCCTCTCCTTTTATCTTTTTTCTCTTTTGCTTTCCTTATTCTGTTTATTTTCCCCATCCCCTTGTTCTTCTGGTTTCTTTTACTTTTAAATCCCATGCCTCAGGTTTTACTAATCTTTTTACTCAGTAAGCAATAATTACTCAGTTAACTACATTCTTATAGTCATATATCTTTATTCTCTGGATGAGATTTTTCTGAATTTTCTCTGTTTTTTCTAATTGGTCCTTAATTCCCTAATCTCTTTCCTTTTGTTTCTAGTTTCATCAACTTCTGGGTGAATCTCTAAATCTTTCACCTTGACATTTACCACGACGGTGTCACCAGACCTGTAATAAAATGAGGTATTCTGACTTCACTCCAAGGGGACAAAGTTTAGGGTGTGTAAAAACTTTAAATTACACTTTTAAAAACAAGCAATTAAAAGATGTGATACATGTGAACATGGGGAGCACATCTGCTCCTTTAGAAACAAATGAGGTAAGGACCCAGTTAGTAAGAGCAGTTAGTTAAAACAGGACTAATCAGAGAACTGTTAATAACATTTTTTGTGGGCAGCATCACGAATCACAAAATTAATTTACGGTCATAGTTCATGCTGTAGGTTAGCTAGTGTGTCTCTAATGTTCTATCCATCTCCTGGAATGGAGACAGTTAGCACAGTCAAAGTGATCCAAGTATATGAGCTGAAGAACTACTAAAATGAATATGAATTTTATCCCACTTAATTTTACCTCCTTAAATCCACTATACAATGGCAAACATATTGTAGTAATTTGTTAAACTGTTTTAAGTGGACAGCATTTTTTTAAAAACTTAATTTGGTATCAGCCAATTATTCAGTCTTCAAAAACAGTCTTTTCACCCCACAAGTAGCATTCTACTAGAAAGGGCTCTCAAGAAAAAGTGTGTGGTCCTCTGCTGAATCTAGAAGAGAGGGAACAACTATTTTGGCATTGCCTTTTTCCTGAACAGAACAACTGGTAGTAGCCACTTGACATTGTAGGGATTGATACTAACTTGAAAAAATATGAAGTGCCTCTGCTCACTGTGAGAAATTAGTCATTTTTGTACTTCCATGTTAAGGGCAAACTACTTGAATTAAAAATTCTGTCAAGGCTTACTTAATGCAGAGTGTAAATGCCTTTCCCACCATTTTATCAAGCTCATTTGATTAGAACTTTCCACTCTTGTCTTTTTAAAAAGTGTTGCTGGTTTTAGCTTTATTATTATTATTTCCATCTATTTTAAGCTACTTGGGATGTACCAAAAATTGAATGGAGACTTACTGGTAAAACAAAATACAGTTTTTGTTAAGGCATTATTAGAATTTATGTTTTGTAATAGTAACTTTATTATAAGTATATGATTCAATAATAACCACATCAAATAAAGTCAGAAAGTTCAAGAAGTTATTCTATATTTTCTTTTCTGTTTTGAGCAATACTTCATTTAGGACAGAGAGTTGTGTGATCCGAACTAGTTTGTTACTTATGCTGTAAAATCCAGTCAGTGTCTTATTACATAATATATTGAAAGACAGTGAAATTACAACCTCAACATATTTCTTATATGTATATGCTATAGACATATTTTCAGAATCAGTCTTTTTCCCAAAGGAAAATGATTATTTCCTTGAATGATATACCTATCTGGGATCAGAAGCAAAACCAACCAACCAAACATACAAAAAAACTCAATTATGACATTTCTAAGTGAATGAACAATTAGCACTCTGTTTTAAAAGAAAATTAAGTTAGCTATACAAGTCTCAAACATATGGAGAATCTAAATTAGAAAAGAAAAATATCTCCTGGCTGATGTGGCTC